ATGCCTTGTCTTGATATCAGTAAGCCATTAATTGGTAAAATATATAAACTCCAATCGCTCATTTAAACTGCTAGCGTTGTATCGTTCACAATAAGACTACAAATGAAATTGGAACCTTCTTTCACTATGAAAACTCTTACAGATTTTAACTTAGTGCAGAGTGTTATAACCAATTTGATAACTCGGTGAAATTTGGAGAGATTTTAGTTATCACCTTTGAGCTTCCTTTTGTGTTCCCCAGAAACCACGCGAGTATTGATGTTTTGTCTTAATTTCTTATCTGTAAGCTTTTAATTGCGAAAAACTAAAAAGAAAAAAAAATCAATAAAATTATGTATATAAAGCTAAGTGGAAGAATATTTTAAAGGATATTTTAGTTGGGATACACTCCCAACTTCCTCAGTAGTGATTCGTTAGATTTCGATTGCTTTAATAAAAAAAAATTGCTCCTAATTTAACATACATACTTTTTCAAATCCTGTTTTGACTAGCACCCTAAAAATATATATCAAAGACGGTTAACGCAACACATTATTTATGCATATTTTCTTACTGCTGATAAAAGAGTTGATATTTTCAAAAAAATAAAAATGACAACTTTTTTTGCTATCAATCTCAATAAAAATATATCTAGGAGGATCTCGTGTCTTTAGCAAATTAATTATCTTATCAATAAAAAAAAGTAATCAGTATAAAAATACGAAAACTTAGCTAAACTTTACCGCTACAATTGCCAATTAGAACTATCTGTAATTCAACTTCAAAGTAAATATGGGGCCATGACCTCGCCCTTGTTATTAATAAGTTCGAATCGGGATCCGAACGTGGAGAACATCTAAATATTACCCCTGGCAATTACTTTTAGTAATTAACTGGCCATTAATCTGATGGCCTTATTACACTTGAAATTCAAAATTACGTCAAAGATGGACTGTGAAGATAGTCGATAATGTAATAAAAAAAAAACTGGCAGCTGCTTCGACGTTTTGCACATCCTTGAGAAAGGGTAATTGTTTAAGAATCGAAAAAAGTTTTACGTAGCCGATCTATATATCATATTCGATAGTTAGACTATTTATCAGTTTTAGCTTGGCGAATGACCTTGTTATTTGGCGAATAAAAAATGTTTTGATTTGTGGGCTTTTTTGGTAAATGGTATAGGTTTTTTTTCTTGTTTACAGAATGAAATGCTTAATAATGATCATATATTTACCAATGATTTAGTTATTGTTCTTTTTTGAGTGACATTAATGAATAATGGGGTGAAACAAAATTATAGAAGAGTAAATAGCATTTAGAGCAAAAAAATAAACATTAATCTCCACTTTATTTTATTTCTGTTTATTCCTTTGAGGCATTCAGTTAGTTTCAATTAAATTTTAAAAACAGTGTTCACGTGGAAAAGTCTTAGCTTGCTTTAACTACTAAATGTTGCTATGCGTAATTACATTTAACTAAATTGAAAAATCTCTCACGTTAGCTACCATTTAGGCTTCTCAAATACAACAAGTGAATGGTTTGTAATTAAAAATTTCTAGCTCAAGATTGATTATATGTTTGTTTATGTATCAAAACTTATTGTCTCAAGAAAACAGGACTAACATCGAACTATAATGTCGCTACCTTGGACCAATCTGCATTATACAGTACAAATTTGTTAAAATCTTAAAAAAGGTGTAGTGAAAAAAAAGTATGGTGAAAACTACTAGACTTTGGGGAAATCTACCGTTTTTTTCCTCTGGGGAAACACCAAACCTAGGTAATTTTTACCGAAGAGCTATGTTAAAGATTTTAATAAAATTAGCAATAAGATTTTTGACTAGCAATATGGCTTTATAATATGTGATAAAATTTGGTAATTTTATCACGATAGCTTAGAGTATGGCGTAAAAATAATTTATTCGGTTAAACTTACTTTTCAGTTTTGCATTTTCTACTATACCTGTGTAATAAGAGCTGTAATTTTGAAAACAAGAATTTCCAGTTAACCGTTGAAGGAAAAAATTACCAAATGAATGGTTTAATTACTGTATAGCTTGATTTCATTATACAGAATTTTTCTTTAATTAAAAATGTTATTACTATACAGAACGGTAATTTTACCTGAATTTTGTTTTCTCCTTGAGTGATTATGTTTAAATTATAGTTAAGCCATAGTATCATTTAATCAAGAAGTTTGATAATCTATTTCAACTTCGAGCCCTAATATCGGTATCTTAAACTAAAACGCATTTTATGTAGCAAATTTGATAAAAATCTTAATGGGCTTTTAAATCAAGCCAAATATATTTCCGTTTCACGTTTAATTAAACTTGAACCATAGTAGAGAGTGGGGTCAATTGTAACAGGGTACGATTGTAACAGAGCGAAAATTTCGAGTGTCGGGTTCTAGATTTGGTTCCTAGGTGGCGCACAAGGTGTATTTAATAAATCTACATGTACACCCCTGCTGGCAACCATTTTTATGTACTTTTGAAAGAGTTACATCACAAAAGATATTTTCACGCCACGCAAGTACTTTTTTTGGTATTAGAATATTATATTGTAACAAAGTAATTTTGTTTAAACAAATAAAAATTATTAACCGAATATGTAAGTGGACACCTTAATTAACATTTCAAAAAAAAAAAGATTAGTTTTGCTAATTAACTAGCATTGTTTTTAACAAATGAAGCTGAAATGGCGTCTTGGGGACAATTGTAACAATAAGTAAAGGGACGATTGTAACAGCTGAAAATAAATAATCTTATGTTTACAAACCATTACTTAACTCTTTAAGAACCACCAATAGTTTCCTATATCATTTATATTATGTTGCATGTGCATTATTTTATTTGTCACCTTTCACAGCATAAATTAAAATTTTTAACCCCTTAAAGTTAAAAGTTTAACCCTTTAGGTCTCTGCTCATTATTATTTTTACTCCTAAAATATCACTACTATTTTGATCAATAAAAAAATATATCACAACTATGATAATATGTATAATTAACTATGTTTTAGTTGAATTTATGAACTGTTACAATTGACCCCGTAAGTGGGGACAATTGTAACAAGTGCACGACTGTCAAAAATTGTTAATAACTAATATAATAACATTTAAAATAAGGTATTTATTTTTTTATAGTAGAGGGTAGTCTACTTTACTCGTCTGTCAATTAATACTAATAATATATTGGAGTTTTTGTTAGTTAAAAATAGTTAAGTAAAAAATGTTGCAATTGACCCCACTCTCCCCTATCGTATAATCAAGAAGTTCGATTATTTGGCTTAGAGTCGAATCATAATATCGTTACCTTGAACCGATGAGCACTATCCGATGTGAATTTTCTGCAACCGCTTGGATTATCTCTAAACTGTTTTCGTGTCATTTTGATTTTTCGTCCATTAAATGTATCATTAGTGATGAATTATGAAATTTGAGGGCTTAGAAAAGTATTAATCACTGTTAAAATGTAAGTGAAAAATCGTTATTACCGCAAATGTAAATAATTTAGAAGATATGTATTCGGTATTCGAATAAGTTGGGGAAATAAAATTGCATTGAAATTGCAGCTATTGCGACAAGTTTGCACTAGCAAAAAATGCCGAATTATATTTTTTGGGGATATTATTGCAAAAGTTGGGCTCATGTAGTATGTTAAAACTATTAAAACTTTTCACTCATTTGAAAAATATAAAATAGTAATACGGCATAAATAAATACATTCATATTATATTTAATTACTCACACTAAAATTCATTAAAATGTAAGAAAATGAAGCCTACAAATATTAAAATAATTTTTTATGAAAATATGAAACTAAAAAGTCACGTGAAAAGGTCATTATTACAAAATAACTTTATTTCACTTGATACAAAATAATTACTAAATAATAAAACATATAAAAATTGCGAAATACTAAAAAATCACTAAGATTCATCGAAACTATAATTGATTAAGAGTAAAATAATGGGAAATGTTTTTACAAACAATTTTACATGAAGCTTATTTTTTAGATAAATATTTTTTGAAGATTTGTTTATGCATCATAGAAATGTACATTAATAACACATAAAAAAAATTTGGAAATTAAAAAAATTTGCACAAAAAATCTTCTCGAAAATTATTACAAAAAATAATTTTAAAAAATAATCAAAATGAGGAAAAAATATAAATATTTCCGTTTACCCTGAATGAAAATACAATAATTTGAAATTTCTTACAAGAAGAAAAAAAATCCGGTACACTTACTGTACTATACGCTAATGATATTTCTGTTAAGAAACAGTCAAACAAAACTCTGGAAATAAAAGCCAAAATATACTGTTTTTAAACCATCAATTTAGTAATTTTTCCGTTCATCGTTTATGGTTTATCGGAAATTCTGGGATTCAAATTTATAGTTTTTACTAACACACAATTAGGTAAAAATTACAAAATTGAGAAACAAGTTATTAATAGTTGTTGTGTCATTCTCTAAGGTATCATGATAAAATTGCCAAATTTTATTACACATTATAAAACTATGTTTCATTGTTTATTTTACAAAATCATTACCAAAATGCTTGGGTAAAAATTACTGCGGTTTTTGGTGTTCCATATAACCAGCATTTTACCTTATTCTGGTAGTTTTGACAATACTTTTTTCCTGGTAGTTATTATTATATTCACTTATCGTTGAAAATTTTAAAAATTATTTTCAAATTTTCCACTCAATTTTATTTTAAAAAGCCTATTTCCACTAAAAAGTAACTTTTTTTACATGTCATTTTGTAAAGATTTGATCCTGCTGGTAGAATAATTTTATTTAAAGCATTGAATGAAAAAGTTAGAAATAGGTTGACATTTTATATTAAATTATTTATGCAAATACTTTAAACGAAAAAATATTTTTTAAACATACTGTTGAAACTATTTATTTCTATTAATAGTAATACAAAAGAGTCACATGATAAAACGTTTAAGTATAGCACAGGTATCAGTAAACTCTACGTATCGCAATTGACCAATAAAATAGTTCGTTCATTTCCTTACCTTTTCATATCTAAGTGAAAAAAATGCAGATATTATATTTACTTTCTCTTGAAAGATTCTATTGTTAGAAAACAATGAAAATCTATGGTTTCACTTTTGCGGTAAGTTTTTTATTGATTAAATTTATCAATTATTTGTCTGATAAGTTTAATAACATTTAACTATATAAACTTTAAAAATTGGTATTTTTTTTATTATTAAATATTTTTCGTGAACTAGTTTTTATTTGCAGACTAAAAATTACAACAGTTTATAATGTAAGTAATAGTTAATTCAGAATTTTATCGATAGGTTTTCATTCATCTTATGTTTATTTGTCCAATTTTAAATGAAATGGAGCATAACTTTGAAATAGTTTGTTTTAAATATTTACGAAGGCTTAGTTATGAAATAGCTTTCATTTGTTGACTTTTGAAAAAAATGCTATAGAATGGTTTTAACTTTTTTTTAAGATTAAATAAAATTAGCATTTTTTTTGTTACTGAAAATATTTTTTTGTACCTATCCAACATCAAATCAAATCGTTTGAAGAATAAAGTTATTGGAAAAATGAAAGTAATCAAACAATGAAATAAGGGCAAATAAAATTGCTATTTATAATTTTTATAATAATACTATTCATTAAAAATAACGTGCGTCTCTATCATTAGATTTCTGACATAATAGTTTTTTATCAGTATTAAAAAGCTCTAGTATTCAAAACTATATCGGTCATCATTGTCTAGCGTTCAATTTTAAAGACAGGTTTCTAAACTTTTATAAACTAAATAACAGGAATTATGCTTTCGTTAACTCATTTTTAAGTATGACTTTATTTTAAATCCGAAAACGGTAAACACACATTAACATTTCAATAAATAATATCGAGTTTTTTTTCTCTTTAAAACTCAGGCACTATTTTTTTTTTAAATTTTCATAAAATACTATAATAATACTAATTTGAAAGTATATCGTTTTTCAACTTTTTACCATTCTTTGAGATGTTAATAAGTATTTTCATATTTTGCATTTTGTCCCTGGAACAAAAAAAAAAATTAGATTTATTCTAATATTTTTTTTCGAATTATATTAGATATAATAGTAGTATGCAAAATGCTATTGAAAAAAGGCAAAACAATTCATAAATGCCTGATCATTCAGTACCCTTGTAATTCATAAATGAATTAAAATTCATAAGAAAATAATGTCTAATTTCAGAAGTGATCGAAAGACATGATTTTGTGATTTGTAAAATTTCGTTCCCAAGCATCTGAATTGTAAAGAAAGTTACTCTTTTAAAAATGTTAATAGCAAATAAATTAAAAGAATGGCAGTCTCCATACTTTGATCTCTACTAGAAAAGTCTGTTTTTTGTGCAGTATTTAAAGCTAAAATATTTACGAGTGTTAAATTTTTTTATAGGATAACTTATATAACCATGGTGGCCCAGAGGATAGAGCGTTCTCTTTCCAATGAGTTAAAACGGGTTCGAATCTTAACGATGGCTTGTCGATACGAATTCCGTACCCGGCTGGAACCGACCACAGTGCTGACGTAAAAATATGCTCAGTGGTAAACGGATAATGGGTTAAAGTCCCCTTGCAGTCAGGCTAACCATGGGAAGTTTACATCTCCATTTAAAGAAAATACGGGTTAGTTTCATCAAAAAGTCCTCCATGAAAGCAGATTTCACCCAATACTTGATCCAGGATTTTTTTGTCTTCTGGATTGGGTTCGAAATTACAAGGGTACTGAGTAAGCTACATTAGTAGTCGTAAATCCAGAAATTGGGTTCGCTGTTCAACAACGGTTGTAAAATAAAGTAATTTGAATAATCCGTAAAAAAAATAAAATAAATTTCTAGCATATGTTAGGCAATTATAAATATTTTTTTATTAAGTTGTAAAATAAAATAAAATAATTGCTAAGCATCTATCTTTAGAGACGAGATAAAAATAACGTTTCCGTCCCAAATAAATGTTTTGTTTTTAATTTCTAAACACGTAACAGTAATTCAATGGATTATGTAAGCTTATTTTATTTTTAAAATCAAATTCAATTAAATCTTTCTTTTTATCTTCTTTTTAAAACATTTTATAAAATATTTCAGTTAACATGATTGCGAAACTATTTAATTTGTAAACTTTTTTTTATCACTTTTAAACATTTTAGTTTTTTTAATAATTTATCATTAAAAATCAGCTTTTTTTTCATAATAAAAAAAAGGAGATAATATTTTCATTTTGAATTTATTTAATTGAACTGATTTCCTAGTATATTATGTATTGAACAAAACATAATTGAAAGATTGTATGGGAATCAATAAGTAAATATTAATGAAATGAGTTGAAATTGATGGATGAATAAATTTGAGTATCCAATTCCTGATTGTTGAATTCAAATTTTAGTTTTTAAATTTCAAGAAACGCGAATTAAATAATCAGTTTGTCATGTAGATTTTAATTATTTTTAAAAGTCGGTCTCTTAAGTAGTTTTTTGTTGTTGCAATTTTTACCAAATATTTAATTATTATAAAGAATGAAACTATTTTTCCATAATTTTATTTTTCTAAGTTTCTTGACATTTATCATTGCATACTTAAATATTTCATAATACTTAATGTTAGTATCTATATATATATTTCTCTTACACGGCGACAAAAAAACCTTATTACAACTCCCCGAATGGCAAAGCTGGAAAATCGACCAATGATTGCCGCTAAAAATGTCACACACCAAATCTTGCTGAGGTGGCTCAACATATAGCGCTTTTAAAAACGGAAACTGAAATAACCAGAGAGAGCATTCTCATCAAATGTGATCTCTTCCGAAATTCACCCTATCAGCGGCGACAATCTCATACTATTAAGCTAGGCAAAAGTGAGTAGTCTTTGTCGATAGATCTCTATTTTAGTATTTTGTCGAAAGCGCTTTTTTTCACGAATTTATATATTACGAATTTATTTGACGATTTTTGATTTATATCACGAATTTATTTGTTTTATTATTGTTATTAGTTATTCATTGAAAGATGAGTTCCTGACGTGCTGCTACGCTTTAAGATTTTATACTATAGCACATTTCTAATAAGTTTAACGAATTACATGTCATTTATTTGAATTCAAATTTATTTTAATGACTTAGTATTTACTAAAAAGTTGTAATTTGTAAAAAGATGTATACCATGTTGTCATATGGATTTGAATAATTGTTTTGAATTCTTAGAATTTTGTGCATATGCAATGTATACCTAAGTTAGAAGCGAACGAAGCAAGCTTGGTTGGCGAAGCAAACCATATAAGATTGCGTAGCAATTTCTGAGGTTGGCGAGTGCTAGCGAGCAGGGGAGCACACTAGTATAAAATATTATTGCACAATATGATGAAATTCATAAATAGGTAAATATTATTATTATGAGTGGAAGTTCATAAATGATTATATTTCAAATATCTCGAAATTCATGAATTCAACATTCAGATATTGCATATAATTAGTTTAAATTGAATTTTATGAATTAAAATCCTTTTTGTTGATTAAATAAAAGCAAAAAAACTTTGAAAAAGATTGCACAGATCATTAAACATTTTCCCTTACACAATGCTATTTAAAAAAGGAAGAAAAATTTTATCTCATTATTTGAAGATCTAGAAAGTTAGTGAAGCATTTTATAAGATAGCACTATTGAAATTAATGCTTTTTATTTATTTAATTTTTTTTTAGTTGAAAAATCGAAAAAAAATGAATTTTTCTTTATTTATTTACATTTTATTCCTTCATACTGAATGTAATGTTTATGAGAATGTGCATTGATCTCATAAAAGGTTGTTAATGCATAAATAAATCGTTTCTAGTCTTTTTATTGAAAAAATATTATAAATATCCCTGATTTTTTTGACAGGGCCTGTACATCACTTGCACGATTTTTTAAGCAATATTTTGTATTGTTACTTTAAAGTAAATATAATTCATTGCAATAGTGTCCTTATTGGTAATAAAAAGGAAGTAATAACTAATTAAAAAATTTAAATAAACTACAATAATTTATATTTATTTTTTATATTTACTATATTATAGTAAATATAAAATTTGGCATAGTAAATATGAAATTTAAACAAAAGAAGTAAATAGGAAATTTCATTATTTTGAAACATCGAAGTTCGTTTGTACAGATAGTGCTCCATAATGACTATCTTTACTATGTATTTTAAAATAACCTCAACCTCACATGTAATATCATCATGATCTAATTTTAAAACGTATTTTGTTCCTCGCCCCAAACTAAAATAATAATTTTGCGGCCCTTAATACTTAGTACATAGTGTTTGTTGAATTTTACGATTTCTTTTATAAAATTACGGTTAAATTGGCTACTATGAACGCCCTGTATTGATTATTTCCTTATGTGATTTTGTAGGAAGGTATTATTTGTGATAGTTGGTGTGCTGTGCTTGGCATTCTTGACTTCTGCTGAGCCATGTGGAGATGGCGGATACTGTACTGGAGTTGGAAGTAAGTAGCATTTATTAGATGATTGTAGTCAGTACAAAATTGATTATTTCACAACGTATCGTAAAATTATAATCATCGTCTTTCCATTTCGTACATTCTCATTGGACAGTAAAATCACATGGAATTATTAACATTGATATTAATAAACAATAAGCATTAAAGACCCATATATTTTCTGACCATCATCAGTATAAGACGAATGTAACTATTATTTTAAGTAATATCAGTATTTACCGGTAAATTATCAACTAATCCTTAATTTAAAGGTACATAATAGCCATGACCTAACTTTTTGTTGGGTAATGGCTACGGGAATTAGGTTGTGGTTGAGTTATGTTTCATCAAATGAACCGTGGAATGTGGTTTAAATAAATCATCTGGTTGTTTCACCTATCATAAGCCATGGAAAATAGTAAACATTTCGTGCTAAGCATTTTGTTCATTTATCGTGCTGTCATTAATGCTTGAATGGAAGTACCACATTCCAGTAGTCCAGGGTCACAAACTGGGAAGTGTAGAGAACAGTGAACTTTTCATATGTGGATGGGAATATTGTGGTGTCAACGCTGGGACTCGAACTCCAGTTCTGTCAGTCATAAGATGGACAGATTAGCCCTCTCAGCTGTAATGTGAGTACAGCTGAAATGAACTAAATGCCTTCAATAGGTGGGCCTAGTTGGTGTGATAAAATTCTGATTGTTTAACCGTATTAGGGGAAAGCAGTTAATAAATGGTTTTTCTCACAGTTACCAGTTTTAATACCAGGACAATTCCATGACAACTTTTAGGCGAAATTTTTTTTTTTTATGAATTGCATATTTTGATTTTAAAAATATGTTCAGAAATAGCCTAAGTCTACTTATTCATGTTTCATTTTTGATAGTTTTAAGTTTTTTGAATCTAGCAGTATTCTAAAGTAATCACATGGCTGACAAGTGAATTGTTCACATTTGTGCTGAAATTGTTTTCTTGAAGAACACTTATAAAATAAAATAAATGTATCTTTCTTTTGCAATATTTTGATAAAATTATGCATATAGTACAAAATTTAAACATTTAAAACATAGTCTTTAAGACATTTTAAGTTTAATATATAAAATAAAAGTAACTTTTTTATGTCATTCCGTCACATGTTTTAGTATTTTTTTTTAAAACTGCAACTAAATTTCAAAATGAAAATGTGTATATTTTGGAATATAAAGCAGATATGGCATAAGAATCAATGAGAGATAAAATTTCATGCATTTGTTTATTAACTTCCAATAATTAATGTGACGGAATGACACATCCTCGGCGATAGAATGACAAAACGAGTCCTTGAAAAGCCTATTAAAAAATTAGAGAATTATTTATTTTTCAATTAACCTAATGGCTAAAACAATTGTTGAAAGACAGATAGAATATTGAAAAGGTACAAGATCCCCATAATACTATGGTGAAAAAAAAGCCAGAAAAGCAGATAAGAAGGCTTCCGCCACAAAAGCTGAACTTAAAAGCTTAGATGTTGTGCAGAGATTGTGTAAACAAAGAAAAATTCTAATTCTACCAACCTCTTCACATACAAATAATTTAAATTCCCCCTACAAATCTTGGTAAAGCCGTAAAAAAAGTTGTACACTCACTTCCAAAATCAACAATAAAGTTAAAAAAATTAATTCAGTCTTAATGTGAGAAGTATTTAACATTCAACTCAAAAGAAACTAAATTAAGTGAATGTCGATAAGCTGTTTATTTTGGTTAAAAAATTTAACTGTCAAGATGATGTTAGTTACAAGCCCCCAGGTGGTATGAAGGATTCAGTCATAATACAAACTCTGACAGAGTAACGAAGAGTGCACTAAAAGAGGCTTTTCATTTGTTTAAAGAAGCAGATAATGATGTAAAGTGTGTTTCATTTTTGTTAAGTGTATTTCATTAATACCTCACAACACATGCACCTATAAATACCACGTAAATGTGAGGTTGTTTTAAAAAGCCAAACAAGGCGTTGGATGCTTTAAAACGGCACCTAA